CTCAAAATTCTCTTGAGTTAAATTCATCACTGAAACTGCATCGTCCAACACTTCATTATTAAAGTTATCCGATTTTGATAAATCTGCAGCTCTTGCAGCATCCTGAGAATTTGAGTATTTCGTTCCGTTGATTGTTAATAAGTCTTCGTACGAGACAACGCCTCATGCAACGATTCCAGTTCAGGCAATCATTGCGATATTGTTCTACGAGAGCTTGCAATAATGTACTATCGCAACCGTATTGGCGATATTATATGAAAAAAAGCAGTGGTTGCGTACGACACATGCGAAACCAGTAATAAATGCAAAATATATTATCTTTTTCTCCCCCTCGCCCTCCCCCTTTCTTTTGTTTAACTAATGTTAGCAATATGAACAATAATAAATTATATCGTCAGCCTTTCCTTGTTATTTATTAATTAATCATCCGCAATAGGAATAAAATGTATTTTTCAGAGATTTCAATTTATTTATAAACTAACTTTGAAATCGTTTATTTTTCATTTTAACAGTCTATCATTAGTTATTTATTTTATAAAATAATTAAAATTGTAACAAAAAATAACTAGGTAAAGTATGAAGTTTATTATTTGTTATATATTTTAACTGACTCGTCTAGTTTTGTCATAAATACCTAGTTATTCTATGAAATAACTGAATTATACACCAAGAGACTTGCGACCAACGTTTCTATACGTATGTGTAGTGGGCATTAGTTACGTTAATCTTTTCATGTATTTCTTAATTCATGAATAATTAAACAATGCATAATGCATAAATGATTATATATATATATATATATATATATATATATATATATATATATATATATATATATATATTAGTTTTATAAATTTATCATTAACTGTTGGTCCCCTTGTTTTAATTTGCGAAATTTTTTTCTTAAGTGTGCACTTTTTTAAATTGTTACAACCGATTTTATGTTTTTATTCAAAGTAAAGGGTGTTTTTTTAGAGGTATAGAACTTTAAATTGCAATAAAACAGCGATGTATTATTCGATCGACATGAATTTTTTTTATTCGAAAGATAATCTTGTGGCATAACATTTTAAATATGATTTCTGGCATATGACTGCCACGGCTGGCTCGGATGTAGTCCAATCTGGACGTCCAATTTTCGATGACTTTTTCCAACATTTGTAGCCGTATATCGGCAATAACACGGCGAATGTTGTCTTCCAAATGGTCAAGCGTTTGTGGCTTATCCGCATAGACCAATGACTTTACATAGCCCCACAGAAAATAGTCATAATAAATAACAAGATCTTGGAGGCCAATTTACAGGTCCAAAACGTGAAATTAGGTGGTCACCAAACGTGTCTTTCAATAAATCGATTGTGGCACGAGCTGTGTGACATGTTGCGCCGTCTTGTTGGAACCACAGCTCCTGGACATCATGATTGTTCAATTCAGTAATGAAAAAGTTAGTAATCATGGCTCTATACCGATCACCATTGACTGTAACGTTGTGGCCTTCATCGTTTTTGAAGAAGTACGAACCAATGATTCCACCAGCCCATAAAGCGCACCAAACAGTCAGTTTTTCTGGATGTAACGGTGTTTCGACATACACTTGTGGATTAGCTTCACTCCGAATGCGGCAGTTTTGTTTGTTGACGTAGCTATTGAACCAGAAGTGCGCTTCATCGCTAAACAAAATTCGCTTATGAAAATCGGTAACAACGGCAATCTCGTTTTGGGCCCATTCGACGAATCTACGCCTTGCTTGATGATCGTTTTGATGAATTGCCAAACCAAACTGAGAATAAATCACTTGACAGCTGTTAAATCGGTCGCCATCTTGGAAAGTAATGCCAACTTAAACTTCCATACCTGGAAAAAAAACACTCTTTATAAACGTTTCACTTTTAATCTAAAGGAAATTCTGCAGTAAAAACTGTGTGTGTGTTTTGTTATTTATTCAGTTTGATATTTCCAGGAAAAGTAGTTTTGAGTACCGTAAAATCCGGCGTGTAACGCTCAACTGTACTTTCAAGCTTAACTGTACACAAAAAAAATTTGATCTATTCGCTGTATAATTCGCATCCCCTTTTTTTACAAAGAAAGTTGAAATGTACGTAAGCAATGCTCTTATGCTTTGAAGTCACTTATTCGAGATATTATTCAAGGTTTTAAAAAAATAGTATATATTTCTAGAACTACAATTCTTTAAGTTCATGAGGAATGTCTTTTGTTTTAAATAAACGGTATTTCAATATATGCAGTAATCTAAATTTTTTATGCATCTCTTTTTGTTATTTTTAAAGCTCTCTTTTTTTTTATACCCGGCGTATAACGCTCACCCATAAATTTCGATCTAATTTTTTGTGTCAAATGTGCGCGTTATTCGCCGGATTTGTAAGGTAACTAAAAAGTATATTTCAATGTTTCCTATTCCACTGGGGAAACAGAAAATATAACACTAATAGATTGTTTTGGGTGAATTTTTATATTTGTGTCAGGAATGGGCCACATCAAGTGGTTATCATCCAAACAAAACGATCTTATTCAGTCCGTTCTTGCATAAGGTTTAATTCAAATATATGTAAAAAAAAGTCACTGAGAAATTTAAATTATGATAAAATCTAATTTAAATTTTGAAAATGTTAGTTATATATTTTTGTGTATTTTTCAATTCCTACCATTAGTTCACTCTCTCCCTATATACATTTATTTGTATAAATATGTATATGTCTTGTTCGAATTTTTAATCGTTAAAAAAATACTTTCTATTCATCCACTCAAGTTCAAATACATTTCTTAAAATTTATAGTGGATGTGACACTTGATGTTAGTACATTTTTTAAACTATTAATTCATTAATTAAGTTTAATTAATGAATAAATAGTAACAAACAAAAATAATAGTTCAACACCACATATATGAAGGAAAATCGCTCGCTGTGTCCCTGTAGCGCAATGGATAGCGCGTAAGACTTCTAATTCAAAGGTCATGGATTCGAATCCAGCCTAGGATGCTCTAATATCTGAGAATGCGTTTTATTTTTACAATACTATTTTATTGGAAGAATTAAATTTAATGAATGAATAAATAGAGTAAAACAAACAAAAATAATAGTCCAACTCCCTCTATAGAAAGGAAAATGGAAAGTTGCAAGGAAAATAGCTTTCTGTTTTGCCACTGAATAGTGTGATTCTGTCATATGTATATACATATTTATATTAATTGTAACAATTTGATAAAAAGTAATTAAAATAATTTTTTTTCTTTTTTGACCTAAGTAGGAATTCACTTAATTATTTTTACTTGTTAAATATTACTTCTGAAATTTTACAACGCAAATTTAAATTCTGAAGAGAAAGTAAGAAAACGTATACAAAGCCTGTTATAAGTTGAAATATTTTAACTACTTCGATACATTTGGAATGATTTATTTGTACATCTATTTTCAGGTTTGTTAAAAAAAATGCTTAGTATATCAATTTTGCAATTAAAGAAACTTTTATTGCATGTAGATTCCATTCTTACGCGTTCTAATGAAAAAAGCACAGAATAAAAAAGAGGGAAAGGAGTAAGCATCTTTGACTTAGTTTTCGTAAAAATGCAGTCAGAGTTATCCTTAAGTGATATTTTGCAACTAACTTTTCGTTTCTATGACTGTCGTTCATTATAACTTCTTTATTTAAATCATTAATTTTATTAACAGGATAAAACCGTATGAGAATAATTTTAAAAAATCTTTTTGTTCATAATTTATTATTTTTTCACAATCTTTTTGTGAGACTTGTGATTCACCATGAAAGAGTACTAGAACTATTTTATACGGTTAAATTCGAAACGAGACCCTTGGGGATAATATCATGAATAACCGAAATGGCTTATATGTGCTGCTTCTGATATAAAGTGTCTGCAATCGTAAAAAAAAAGATAATATTTTAAAGTACCTTTTATGAACTTTAGCGTCACTTTCTGTTTTAATTACTTGTATCATCATTCTTGTTGAAATCGTAGCCTCTTAATAAGAAAAAAGAACAATTAAAAGAAATAAAAACCAGTTTCCTGTGAAATATGCCGAAAAAAGTTACATAAATTCTCAACTTCTCATGATTCTCAACTATATTTAAACGTAAAAATGGAATTAAATTACAGTCATTAAAATATAAAGTAGCTCAACTATCTTCTTTACTTAATTTAAATGACATGGGGAAATGATGTATCAATAGCAGTGAAAATATCTTTCTTTTTCTGAAATTTGAAAACTTTTGGAATTAGTGAAAGAATGTTTGAATTGAAAGAGTGTGTAAAGACAAGTTTGCAATTATATGTATTTATCTATCATTGAATATCAACTGAACAGAAATAATAAAAGTAAGTCCTCTATTGAAGGTGAACAAATTATACTAAATATAAGAAAAACATACAAATCTAAGCTGTGAGATTTGTGGCACTTTCCTGCAAATCTTTTGCTAGCGCCCTCTAAGAAACTGCAAGTAAACAATGGAATTGTGGGGTATCAGAAAACAGTTATGTCTTCCCCAATCCATGCTATCGCTTCTTACGGCTGTAGAGCATTACTTTTACGTATATCATATTAAAGATGTGGTGTAAAGAATACCCTGTATTGCTTAAAAAGAACTAAAAAGATTGTTAATACTTGTGGCTTCTATTTCTAAATTTCACTCGATATTCGAACTCATCGTATCGATATCAACATTAGAGACCATGTAAACAAACAGACTGTTTAAATTTTTTACTCGTGACTCTTCCAATTCTAATCTATTCTATTGTCTAATTTGTCTTCTCTCTTTCTCATCGTTGTCGTGTGTTTTTATCCTGTGATACATATGAAATACAAGTGGAAGAACAGAAACATACAAAACAAACAGAAGAATATAGATATTTTATTACAGATGATGAACCCAACATATAACAAGAAGGGGTGCGTTGCTTTCCATTTGTGAGACGGGAATCCATTACAGGCGAAAGTCCGACTTCTTATCCGGAAGAAAATACAACCATGCCTTTCTCAGGATTCGATCCCGAGCCCTCTCGGTTACAAGCCGAAGGTCATATCCACCATACTATCTGAACGGCTCTCGATTTCGTAGCAAAAAGGATTCTAAAAAAGAGCTAGAAAATGCAGTTCCCATCGGTTCCTAACTTTTCGCTTAAATTCGGCAATGAACATGAGCTCGATGGAAGTAGAACAAATAGAACCCCAAATACAACCATGGAAAGAAGTAAAAAAATATGGAAAACTTCTAGAATATAACAAATCTAAGGAAGGTACTGAATATTCCATTCGAATACATCTCTTATTTTGATAATAACTACCGATTTTTTAACATGTAGACTGCTGCTCATGGATCTTAGTACTCGATAAAACCTTTATATATATAACAAATATCTAGTTAGAATCGCATTTAAATACCTCTGCGCTTCAAGAGATAATTTCGCCATGTAACTACTTTCTTTTCTAAATGGCACCACGTAACCCCAACGTGATAGATAACGGTAAAGGAGGACAGACCCAAAGGGAGTAGCCGGAAATTCCGTTAATCCCGAAAAGATCAATAGTCTTTGGACCTTCTGCAAACACCAAGTGGCTTTTTCTTATCTCTTGCATGGGAACCAAAGTCAACAAGGGCGTTTTCTTCAAATGTGACTTCCCTGCGTATGTGTAATTAGGGGATCTTTCACTTTTAAAGCAGCCATTTTAACTCGATTACTTCAAAAAGAATTGCCCATGGGGCTACTTTAGTTTGAGACTTTTCGATGAGTAGTTAGTTACTCAGATTATCGGAGGTGAAGGGAAAGTTTGTTTAAAATATTGATATTGCCGTAGCTGTGTTGCAGGTACTATATATTAGTAAGAAATTTTAGTGCGGATTTAATATTTTTATCAGAAATTTTCTCAAATGATATTTTAAAAAGTGTTTGAAAACAGATATAATAGTAAATATTATCCACAAATTGAACTGTTATTTTAACTACCAATAAATTAAACAGGTAATCTTTTTTCATATTGTTAATACTACAATTAACACTTGCTTATGGCTGTCTTCGGTTAATGTTAAAGAATAGGACCAGAATTTGTGGAACATTTTTTTCAAATTATAATATTGAAATAATATTGAAAATTTCCATAGAAATTGAGGCACTTTTTTCTGTCTGAAAAAATGTGCTTCGCGTTTAGTTCACGCTCTCGTACTTTTACCGAAAACAGCCTTATACCAATGATGAACTAAATTTTAAAAGCATATCGTATGATTGAAGAATTTGTTTCTAGATACTTATTCGATTGAAAGGGTTATTTTATTAATATCCTAGCTCTTTAGTGAATACAATTATTCATTGCAAAACTTTGTATGCAAATTAAATACTAGTATGATGTAGTTTGAGGTCGTAAAGTGAGGTGCCAGCTGAGGTACCACAACCTCGTTATTTGACCGCAGTTTTATTTTTTACTAATAATTTGAACAAAAAAAATTGGTCAAAAAACATTGAATATCGAAAGTCTTTTGAAAAATTGTGAAAAGAAATAGCATCATGATTATTACAATGTATATATTCTGGGGGAGGGGGTACCTCTGTCCTCCTAACAGCGGACCAAACGCCATCGTATCATTGTCTCAAATGATTATAAAGTACACAAAAAAATGTCTCCATCTTTTTTGCATCATTTTTGGTGACTTTTTGACCATATGGATACTTCTGGAACTTACTGGAGAAATCTATAACATCACGATCTATGACGTAAGCAGATTTTTTTGAGAAAGCGCTTGAAGTTAGGGGGGACTCTAGGCAAATCGTTCTTGGCGCTCTTCAGTTAAATTCAACTTTTTACGACCCACTTTTACAAACTTTACCTTACATATAAATAAATTTATTACAGCGTCACGAAAAACTGTTTTATTTATTGAGATAACATGGATGGATGGATGGAGGGAGGGAGGGAGGGAGAGAGAGACATAGATTAGATATATTTTTAGAGAGAGAGACATAGATTAGATATATTTTTATATAGAGAGATTATATATATATTATACATAGAGATATATATTTAAATTAATGTTCATATATTTTGAAGATTTTAAAATTTGTTTTACCATATATATTTCTATTGCGCATAAACTAAGAAACACGTCACTTGTAATAAATGTGAGACTAATAGCTATCACATCAAAATCAATTCTAAAGCAATATCTGTTTACAACATTCTTAGAAATAAAATACTCATTGTTATTTCAAATATTGTTTTGTTGAAAAAAAGTAAAAAACAATCGATAAATATTAGTTATATTTTTCATTTTAAATTAAATCGTCTGCTAAATAAAACTGGAATTAAATTGCCTCTACAAACTTAAATTCAAATAAACTCCCCAAATGAGATTTAACGATATAACTTGAATATACTTTTAACGCAAAAAAAAAATGTTACTTATAAAAATATTTTTATGCAAATAAGAGTAATAAAATCAAGTAAAAGAAATTTTCATCGTTAAAACTGAATATCATGTTTCAAAAAAAAGTCCTAAATTAGTTTTGTTAAAAACAAAAGGATTCGATTTTATTGGTTATGAATTTTTAAAATAAAATTTTAAGAAAACAAGAAAAACGTATGTACTTGTATTTATATGCATTTGTCTGATAATCTCCCCATAAAATCAGCTGAGAATAGAAATATTACAGAAAAATTCATTTCAAAAATAAGTGAATAGTAAAGCAATATTTTGTTAACACGAAATAATTATTGAAATAATGAAAAAAGATAACGAAACCCATAGTTGTAAAGATGATAGTAATAACTGTAAAAAATTCTGGTTTACCGTAACGTTAAAAAAATGGTTCAAGATCTTATATATCCTATAATTGACAAAACCACAAAAGGATTAGGATGAGAAAACAAATAAATCACTCAAAAATCTTTAAGCTAATTCTATTTTATTAAAAATGCTTTATTAAATTTGTTTATGTTATTTGTGATAAGTAATGAACAGAATTACCTTTAAAACTGACACCATTTTTAATTTCTTTGTAAAATATCTGTTGTACGAGTATTTCATTATTATTTGGAAAGATTTGTTGAAGAGCAGCTTGTATTATTTATATAAATTTTCTGTTTCATTTTATTTTGGCTTATTTAGTTGGTAGAATATTACCTAAACTATTTTCATTTTCATTTTAAAACCATTTGAATTATCAGGCATTGTATGGGAAATATTTCAGTAAAAACTTAATTTAAATCTCTGAGACAAAATAAAAGGCTGTGAGATTGACTAGTAATTATGGTCTTGGATTTGACTCTTGATACCACGAAACACTCGGCATTTATTACTCCATGTAGCATTTCAGATACATATTAAATCTGTGAGGCTCAAAGTCCGTAAGTTGGTTGGGTATGGAAACTTGGAGAATTGTGTGTTGTCCTTGTCACTTAATCTTGATTCATAATTATGAGATCTTTGGCTAATAGCCCTCTTGTTGACTCTAAATTCTGAATTAATAAATCTGTCTGAGAGGATATAAATCAACGCATTTATTAAACTGAACATCAACTTTATTTAATAATGAAACCTTAAATAAAAAGTGTTTGTCTTTGCTATGTATTTAATGTTGTGCAAAGATGTTGTAAAGAATTGAAGGAATAATTAAAGTAATACAGGTAATGGCAGCTTGATTTGACAGTACCGTGGAAGCCTTAAATATGTGAAGAAGGAAGACAAAGGCAATTCCAAACTTTGCAGCTTTATAAGTGTCTCAAAATTCTTAATAATTTGATTATGAGTTCCAGGGGCGTAGTTGCCGCCGTATCAGCCGTATATGATACGAGGCCCCAAGCTAAAGGGGCCCAAACATGTGTGACTACAGTCCCACTAGCAGCATTCTCATATCTAAAAAAGTGCCCTGAAGTAATTTTGACACTACTGCAGAACTATATGCGCCAGTGATGCGTTCAATCATTGGGAGGGGGGGGGAGATTGTAACAATCTATAAATTAAAATGATGCAAGGTTATTCGAAAAGTATCCGACCTGGAATTATCCCAGGCACATTAAATTCTAAAACGCGCCACTGGGCACAACGGGAGGTAACAGCACAATTGCACATGTGTTTGAAATTTTTTCCCCTCCGTTCCAGTGTACTAGTTGTTCCCTGCAGGCAGTTGAATGTGGTGCTGTTATACGCGTTCGTCGGATTTTCATTTCTCTACAAATGACTGAATGACTTTAGCATAGGCACTGCATCCAACGTTTTGTCAAAAGCAGGGTGATTTTCTAAGTGAAACAATTCGTAAGATTCGGCAAGTGCTTAGAGACGATGCTAAGAGGGTCGCACAAAATAAGAATGAGTTTAACCAATTCAAAATAGTCTGCACGCCGTTGGAGAATGACCAGTGTTCTGGAAGGCCACAAACAGCTCGAAATGCAGCAGTTATTGAAAGCGTGGAAGATTTGATAGTAAAAGATCGTCGATTAACCGTGCGAGAGACTAATGAGCATGTTGAGATCAATAGAGGTTCTCCACGTCTAATTGTGTGTAATCATGCGTATAGCGGTTGTGAAATTTGTTCTCAAACTTCTGTCGGTGGAACATAGAAACTCCATCTTGTAGTTGCACAGGACCTAATGGACAATACCAATGCTGATCCGGGCTTTTTCCAAGTTCTGGCTGTTCCCCGAAAATGAAAACGCCATTGAAAGAATGCCGTTTTCTGAGAAGAGATGAGAGAAGGCAAAACGCGATGGCGGAGTTGTATACCATTAGAAAAATCTTTCAGAAGTGTTTTCGGCAGTGGAAGGAATGCTGGGCTAAGTGTGTGAGGCTGAAAAGGACCTACTTTGAATTTGATTAGGAACCTAATTCTGCAAAGTCACTAAGATATTTTTTCTGCCCAAAGATCGGATACTTTTTGCACAGAACTTGTTCATGAATTCACTGTCGCATATTTTGTCGCAACCCTGCTGTCGGTGGTGAATTTGGATGCAAAGAAGTAAGAGACATTTTAATAAAATCAACACCTTTATTTAACGTACAAATTACTCTCAAGAGGTTATATAAGTGAAGGGAGTTGTCAGATTAATTATTGACCTA